AATCTTCATCAACATATCCCTAAAGATAGTAGTTAATACTAACCCCCTACAAACTAGTTAGTCTTTATTTTTCCATGATGTGATTATTTGGAATCATTGACAAAATCCCAGGGCAAGAACAGTTTGGTTTTCGAAATGTCCAATTGCACCTCCCCTTTTTGTGTCTCTGGCTAGGTTTTACCCCGTTGCATCTAGCCGTTGGAACTTCTAGCCGCGACATCGTTCTTGCTCTGCTGGATCACGGGGCAGATGTAGATGCTGTGGTAAGCACGGGGTGCAAGAGGAAAAGGGGTCGATATGGATATTGTTCATTTGGATGGTGTAGGAAGGGGGAAACGAACTGGAGATCTTGCAAGAAAAGATTGCTGATCTCTGCCTTGGATGATGGCTATGAATAATTAGGGACGAAATGTAAAGACACGTTGGCGAACTGTAAAGTTCCATGGTATTTTTGATGTATTATTTTAGGGAAACTCAGGATTGTTAAATGAAACCGGGGAGGTGTTCTGATAAATGGGAAAGTTTGTTTTATAAAAGTGAACAAAAAGAGCTGTAAATGAATAAGCAGAGGAAGAGTTCCTTTTTCATTCTGAGAGAGGGTTATGGAATAGGATGTTACAACCGAAATGTTGAGGACTGAAATTTTAAAATGGAGTGTTTGAATAGATGGAGAAAAAGTCTTAAGGAGGGGGAAACACACAAGAAAAGGCTTATTGATAGAGAGGAATGGCTATATTTTGATACGATACCATCTTACTTTGGATTTTCTTTATGAAGGGTTAATGCATTTGAAAAAAAGTCGCGTCCTTTCTCTTAAAGTTTAGCTCTTCATGTTTGTTATGTTTGCCTATAAACATACATACTGCTGTGCAAGGTTGGGAGTTTGCTGTACAACAGAATTGGACTGGGATCTAGCAAAATTATTATTTTTTCCATGAGAACTTGAGATGGCCTAATGCATTGCCCCAATTTCTGAGTTACTGGTCTCCAGCAGTGTTCCTCACTGTTTGTAGGGGAATTCAGAGTTCAGACCGTCACAAAAGGATGCTCTTAGGTTAACTACTGTTTTCTAAAGAGGGGATGGGGAAAAGGGAAGGAATCATGGCATCGGACTTGCACCCCAAATGATGCCAACACTGGTGCCTGTTCTAACCAACCCTGATTGACTCCTATTTTTAGGACATAAAGAGTGGCCGATCTCCGCTACTTCATGCTGTGGAGAACAATAATTTGGATATGGTGGAGTTGCTACTACAGGTAAGGATGGTTTGTCCTTCTTGAGAAAATCCACGTTGAGTCTCAAGCTATTTTTTTTTTAAAGGAAACACAAGAAAAATACATGGGCAGCAATTGCTCAGTTCCAATAAACAATAGGTTAGCACAGGCTAAATGGGAAGATTGAACTGCAGCAAGCTATCCCTTGAGAGGGTAGTTAATATTAACCCCCTACAAACTAGTTAATCTTTATTTTTCTATTATGTGATTATAAGAAGAGTTTGGGTGGAAGGGTTTAAAGCAGTGTTTCTCAAACTTGGCCACTTTAAGATGGGTGGACT